AGGCAGGGGAGAGTGCTGCCTCCCCCCTGCCCTCCTGCTCTCCCCTCCCTTTGCACCCTGCGGCTTTTGCAGGAAGCACTTGGAGCCTTCCGGTTCCTGGAGAGAACCCACACGTTCAAAAGCCTTTGGTGCAAGCGGGGAACACGCTGGGTTATCCGAGGGCCTGCCAAGGAAGGCAAGATAGCCAGGAGGGACTGAGCACCCTGACCATCTCGGTGCTGCGGGCTCTGCGGGCAGCAGAAGTAACTTTCCCACCAGTGCCCTGGTCTGGGGACAGCCTGACCCCTCTGCAGAATGTCCACGGGGCAACGGAGTTAATTGTTCTGCCTGGTTAACGCAGGGCGCTGCATTTCTCCAGTAGCATTGAAGGAGGTGTCGGATCCTGTTGCCTCTCTGAGTACCCAAAAGTATTAGAGCGTAACTGGAGGGCGGGAGACGGGCGTTACTGGGTGTGCAGAGGCACCCCAGCTCTGCAGAGCTGAAGGGCTGCAGCCCAGAATTGCTCCTGGGTGCCTGGTCCTGTGGGATTCTGCTCTGCTGGAGCAGGAGTGGCACAGGGAGCCTGTGGAGGAGGTGGTGAGGAGGAGGATGGAGGAGCACCCCGTGGGCATGGGCTGGGGCTGCGTGCGGGGACGGGGGGCAGAAGTGCTGCTGAGCTCCTCGTCAGGCTGCGGCGGTTCTGGTTTCCGTGCAGTCCTTTGAGCAGAGCACGAAGACTGGTCTCTGTGGGACAGATTTTCTAAATAGTTGGAGCGCAGTTGCTCAGCACATGTAGTCGGGGGCCAGATCTTCAAAAGAGCTCAATACCCATCGTTTAGCTTTTTGAAAAACCTGACCATTTATTCAAGAATCTAAATGGGAGCTGAGGCATTCCAGAAATCTGGTCCCCATTGTGCAGGCTGGGTTCTTGCTGAGTATGTACATATGTACGCCCTCCTACATATAACCAGGGGACTGCTCCGTTTGCTGCTGTAGACTCTGCGCTGCCGACAGCGAAGGGAGGTTTTTCAGACAGGAGACAGCCAAGATTTTGAAGCTGGAGGATGTGAGTTTGGTGGTTGCCATCACAACGAAACTGGGAGGTTTTATGGCTCTCTGTGGTGACAGTCAGGACATTTCTGCTTTTCCCCACGCGTGTGCACGTGTGTGTGCGTGTGTGTAGGTAGGTGTGTAGGTTCGTTGTCGTGAGCCGAAGCGGCTTGGCTCTGCCTTGTCTCATCTTGACCATGAGATGTGAAATTAAATCCTTACGGTGCTGTCTCACCGGCGTTTGCAGCAGCGTGTCTTATTCCCTCCTGAAATGCGTTTGGGATTCGGGGTCTGAAAATGAGAGAATAAGCTTTGTGGTATTCAGAAAGTTGAAGGACCAGGGTTTGTGCAGTTATTTGGCAAAATGTATTGTGATGAGGTGTCTGGCTCCTGTTTTTCATTTCTGGCTTCCGCGAGTGGCACTGGCAGCATCTGGAAGTAGGGCAGTGTGTGTGTCCAGGGTGGGTGGGGATCCCTGACTTTTCTTTCCGAATTTTTTGATGCCTTTCTGTGAAATCTTAGCAAGTTCTCTCATCCTATTTTGTAAAATGAGACGTAGATATTAAAAACCTCTCTTCAGCTAGTTGAAACTCTCTGCTGTGTGCTATTAAGTGAGTGCAAATTGTTCCTACTACTGGAATAACGAACACTGATGTGCACATGGTCTGTGACAAGCAGCTTAACTAACTGGGCCACAGTTTTCCCATTTTCCTGTCCTAGAAGACCCCTGAGACTTAGAGTTTATAGCATGAGAAGCTCTCAACTATTTAAAACATTATGAGATTTAGTAAAAATTTAATTTTAATTTGTCTTTCGGCACTTAGTCTATGGAAATCACATTTTCAAGCTTTCCTTGTTCACTGCCAAAGCTGGAAATGTTTATTAAAGAAAGGAGAAAAAAAAAAAGAAAACACAGATTCTTGTAAAATACTGGAGCTCTAGGAACGGAGGCTTTAACAGATATGCCAAACGCCAGGAGTCCTGTGATAAAATCATGGATATTGGCAGCGTTGGTTGGGCACTCGGCAAGTGCAGTGAAGCTCTAGGCTGGATTTGCCTCCTTTTTTTCACCAGCTCATCCCAGTGGAAGCTTCCGTGGCATCTGGGCAGGTTTGCACTGGTAGGGTCACGGGTGGCTGCAGCAGGGGCCTCCTTTTCATTGCACTGGAAAATTCAGCCAAACCAGTGCCAGAAGGTGCTGGTCTCTGGAACACTTTTGCTTCACTTCACGCCTGCCTTCTCCAGCCTTTTCCTTCTGCCCTGCCCGTCCTCTCGCCCCTTTTTTTTTTCCCATTTAGCATATTGTTTGCTAAGCTAATTATTCCACTCTCTTCTCTCTCCCTCTAAAACACACACTGGAGCTCATGTATTTGCTGCAATTGCATCTTCTCCTGACAGCATCCCAACTTTGGCATGTGCTGGCAGCCGTAGCCGCAGGGCTTTGCCCGCATGAGGAAGCAATCAGCATCTTTCTGGAGAGTCAGTGAATTTCGATGCGACTGCTCTGTTCTCAACGCACCTTCAGTCCAGACTGAGGACTTCAGCTTCTAGAATAAAACACCCATGCAAGGGAGCTGTACCAGAATAGGCATTCTTTCCCACAAAAAGGTCTCAGAAGACAGGAGGATGGCTTTTTCTAAGCCCTGCGTCTCATGCAGGTGTTTATCTGACAGCAGCTCTCTTGGTCCACACACCAGTGACCACACTGGGAAGTTTGGAACTCAGCAGAAAAGTTTCTGCAGCTTCAGTAAAGGTGGCCACATCTGTAGCTGGCATCAGAAAAGCTCCTGTAGTCAGCTGAGCATGTTCCCATGGGAGCACGCAGCTGAGGAAGACGAGGAGGAAGCAGGGGTGTGTGATGGAGATGCTCTTCTACCCATCCATCCTGTATGCCAGCTGGCCTGGGCATCCTCAAGCCCCACTGACTTGAGGTCACACAGGCCTATGCTTTCAGTCACTTCACTGAAAACATCTCAGTTTTAGCATAAACATCCAGCAAGCACCATATAAGAGTAACGTGCTTGGTTACAGTCCGTTCCCCAGCAGAGTACAAAATCAGGGCAGGCAGGACTCCGTGTTTCTCAGGCCATGGTTTTTCCTTGGTTTGCAATTTGAAGAATACCGTGTTTCTGGGATTTTAGTGAGAGAAAAAACAGGATGAAGAAGTCAAACTAGTCTGTCTCCTGTTAGCAGAGATGGACCCTGCCCAGCTGTCTGTGTTGGGAGGGGAGATGTGGGGGATCTCTAGCTTATGTTCAAGCCTGGGTTCAGGGATCTCCACTGACTGATCTCTTTGCCTGTGCACGTGCAGCACGTGCTGAAATCAAGATTCTCCCATTGACTGTACGGGGTGGATCCGAGAAACCCTTGAAGAAGGTAGAGAGTGAGGGTAAGGGGGCACAGAGCCCTCTCGGGGAAATGGCAAGAGGAAAGCTCAGGTTTCTTGAAATCAGCCAGAGCTTGTTAAGTCCTTCCCTATCATCTTACCATAAACTGTTTTGGGGGCTTCTGTTGATATTCTGCACTCCAGATGTTGGCTGCAGCTGGGGTAGAGATAGTGGGACGCTCCCCGCCAGAAGCTGGGCTGTGGGGGAAGGGATACTGGGCTTGTGTGGATGGGTGGAGAAGGAAAGAGGAATATGAATGTATGGTTGTAAATCCACCCCTACACACCCTCCTTTCTTTTCCCTTACAACTGTTACTCTCAGCAGAGGAAAAGTTAGCCTTCCAGTACTCTCTGGTTTCTTTTGCAGAGTCGGAAAGACAAGGAAAGACCTAAACAGAAGCACAAAAAACGTCCAGAGTCTCCCACCAGCCTTACCCCATCCTCGGTGCCCGTCGCTGCAGAGAAGGTACCAAACCCACAGGATGGGAGCATGTGAATGTAGGGTGGGGAGGGAGGGCAGGGGGAAACCATCGGTACCAGCTCTCGTGGGGAGTGGGCAGGGGAGTGCAGAAGAGCAGAGAAAAGAGCTTTTTGTCCATTTATTTTGGTTCCTGATTCGTCGCGTTCTTGCTCTCTGCCTGACTCCCCACCTCGATGCCCACCTTGGGAATTTAACACGGCAGCTGTCTTGGTTTCTGTCAGCACTGACGACACAATCATGGAGCTGAACTCCCAAGTGATTGAGCTGTCAGTGCCAGCCTGTTTCGCAGCAGATGTTCGCATCCGAAGCTCTCGCGGAATAGATAAATATCCACGTTTTGGCCTTTTCTGCTGCCACGTTGCAAACAGCTCAGGCAGGTGGATAAGCAAGGCAAGGCTTGTGGGAGGAGATGTTATCCTTTATTAGACAAACTGGTGTAGCTGAGGGGAAAAAAAAAACCCAGACAATCTTCGAAGCACGTGAGATCTTCAAAGTGCATAATAGAGGTAGCTTTTCTGCGCCAGACAATGGGAGGTTGGTTTCTGTTTAGTTCCTCCATTTCAGGAGAATTCAGGCAGAGGGGCACAGCGTGGTGGCCTGTTTTGCTTCTGAGGTGTAGAGGCCATCCAGTTCCCTGCTGGGAAGATGTTGCTTGTGTGGGTTTATGTTCTCAGTGCCTGGGGTGTGTGGGGCACAGGCAGGATGTCAGTGTGTTTCTGCTGGAATCGTGCTGCTGACGTGGGCTCTTGCACCTGGCTGTAAATCAGGGCAGCCCCGAGCTTTCTGTAACTCGTGCCAGCCCCGTGCTCCAGGGATGCAGACTAGACACAGAGGAGCTTGCCTCGAGCTTGCACACAACAAAGTGAAGGCCAAGTTTGCAGGTTGTTCAGGGTCAGGAAACAGGTGAGATTACTCCAGCGCCCGGACCTTTGGAGTTGTACCCTCCTCTGTAGTGGGAATGTAAATTAATGCGACTCCTCAACAGGGCTGTTGTGGTGTAAGTGAGAGTAGGACTAGGGCCAAGCTCCTGCTAGAACAAATAAACAACGTGTCCCAGGAATGTCCTTTTGTGCACAGAAGTGCTACTTGGAAAGGCTTGGGTGCCCTTCACATGGCAGGACTGCCTGGTGAAAATGAAAATTCACAGGCTAGCAGTGTCTGTGTGTGTGAGAAGCGCCGCAGGGGTGGTCTGGAAGAGTGAAAGCTCCTGCCAGCCAGCACAGGGTTGCTTTGGGTTAGGACTGAAGAGGATTTTCTGTGTTCTGTGTGAGGCCAAGCCTGGAAGCAGGGAGGAGATGTAGGTCAGAGCTGAAATGGCAAAGCTGGTCTCACGCTTCTCAGGCTGGGAGAAGCAGAAAGTCAGAGCAGGACAGAGTGGTGGAACAGCCTCTGAGCTCAACTCACTCTCGATTTACCTGCGCTCATGTTAGGGCAGCTCAGCTCTGGCTTTTGGGAACAGCAGATTCACCCCGTTAACAGAGCTGTCAGGAACTGATGGCCTAAGAAGATTATTTTCAAGCTGAACTGAAACCCAAAACCTGACTCTTGGCCAGCTAAAGCAGTTGTTAGACAATTACCCACTGTCTCCTCCAAAGTCTTGCCAGACCTTTGTAAATAAAGAGGGAAGGGTGCAATTCAGTTTTACAGGCGGCTTTCAACTCTTTGTAAGCTAAAATTCAGGAGATCCTAATTACTGTAGCTGTACTTGAGTGACAGGGTTTTAGTGTTTCCCTAGGGAGTTATTATTAATCCTCATAACAGAGCGTGTATTTCCCTTGGTTTTTTGTGCGTAGATGCCCAAGTATTGTTCAAACTCTGTTTCCAAAGGTGCTCACACCGGATCAAATGTAAGAGCCGTTCAGCAACCTGCTACAACCCTGCCCAAGCCCCTCAGGGGGTGGTTGTATGAGGCTTTCTGGATAGTTGCACCAGCGTGACATTGCACGGGTTAGACTGGTGTAAAACCTTAAGACACATTAATGTAGCGTGTCCGAACAGGTCTCCTCTTGGAAGCCAAAACCATCTTTGTCCTTTCTCGGTCTTAGTTTAGTACAGCTCATCCCAGTAGCACGTACTGGGGAGTGGGTAGGGTAGGTGCAGCAAACCAGGAGCTGATGTTCATGGTGTGACTACGCAGAAGAGCATTGCTAGTCCCTGCTGTGCCACGGTTAGAGTCTGAAGAGAGCTGGGGTCTCTTCCTCTGCTTATTGCTTGCATGATCTTGGGCAAATAATTTATTGCCTCCAGGGTCTTCTCCAAGTTACCCAATGAACCAGAGCATGAACTCCACAGGGATAATCCCTGCAGGTGACACAGCCCCCAGTCTTTCATGAGAAGCAGCTGGATGAGAGCAGATCTCAATGACCTGCAGCAGCGAGGGCAGATGGTCGTGTCCAGGCTCCTGGGAGCAGGACACTGGCTCAGAGCAGCCATGCAGGAGGCTTGATGCCCACACTAGACCCATGCTGCCAGCTCGCTGTGCTTCTCGCACCGTAGCCAAAGTGGCACCACGTATGGAGAGTCCCAGGCTCCCATCCTGGTGCACGGGCTGTGCTGGAGCAGGGGTGGAACTGGAGGCACTGAGCATCTCTAGTGAGCAGGAGCATGAGTCAGACGAATCAGCAGAAGGGCCCCAGCACTGCTTGCTCCTTGGGCACTGGGACTGCGGGCACACTGTAGCCTGGCACCAGCCACCAGGCCATGGAGATGTGTTTCTAGTGCTTGAAGCCACGCTCCAGTCTGCTCCCAGTTTGCTTAGCCTAAAAGGAGCCTGGGGCAACAGACACCTGAGCCCCAGTGTCTGATGTTGCTGCCAAAGTCCTCTGAAACTTTCAGCAATGTTTAATAACGGATTTTCAGAGCTATAGTCTGTAACAGTAGGACTTTTCAAGCTACTTCAGCAGGTTAGGCTGACAGCAGTGAAACTGTTTTGTTGCTTTGGAGGAACAGTGGTACATTCCACTTCCTTGTTCCCTCAGGCAGCTTGCCTCTGGGTTCACGTTTTGCTGTAATTTCACAATCCAGATTATATTTTTCAGTTCCAATTTTCACCTAATATGTGGTCCATCCTGTGCTCCCCTCTTGAACCGTTTAGTTACGAAGATCCTTTGATGTGGTTTCGGTCTTCCTCTTGAAATCAATTGCTAGACCTCTGACTTCTGCCAGATTTTTGAACATCTCACCGAGTGCTTCCCTGCGTCTTCTAGGAATCTAAATACCATTAATATCTGACACTTGGACTCTACCAGGCCTCTGTGTCCTGTCTCTGCAGTGAGGAGCTCTCACTGCCTCGGGGGATAAACACACTGAACGCGCAGTGGTGTGGCCTCAGCCCTCATCTACACCGGAAAGTGAAACTAGGGTGTGAATTCACAGCATGCAAACAACTTCTCCTAACACCTCTTCTGAGCTTCCCTTCTGCCTCTGAAAAGCGTCTTTGGGCAATGTGATTTTCGTTGCTCTCAAAGAGGGGCAGGAGACCTTGCTTGTGGGGCGCAGGAGCGTTCCTTCCAGAGAGCACGCAGAGCAGCTGACCTGCTGAAAATCATGGAATGGTTTGGGTTGGAAGGGACCTTAAAGATCATCTCGTTCCAACCCCCCTGCCGTGAGCAGGGATGCCTTGCACTACACCAGGTTGCCCAAAGCCCCATCCAACCTGGCCTTGAACACTTCAGGGATGGGGCAGCCACAGCTTCTCTGGGCAACCTGTTCCAGTGCCTCAGCACCCTCAGAGGGAAGAATTTCTTCCTTAGATCCAATCTAAATCTCCCCTCTTCCAGTTTAAATCCATTGCCCCACGTCCTGTCACTACACACCCTTGTCCAAAGCCCCTCTCCAGCTTTCCTGTAGGCCCCCTTTAGGTACTGGAAGGCTGCTAGAAGATCTCCCCAGAGTCTTCTCTTCTCCAAGCTGAAGAAAATCCCCCGGTGGTTCTCCAGGGCTAGGGCTTTGGATGGATTTGGAGGTGGAGGGGTTGTAGAGAGTGTAGAGGATTTGTGCTGGATACAGGCTCTCATTCATTGTCATCCTACTTGGACCTCCTACAGACTTTTCAGGGAGTGGGAAGGAGGCAGAAAACATCCCCTCAGGGTGATAGTTCCTGGCTGTAACAGTTTCTGGCTATTTCACGTGGTCTATCCAAAACCTACAAAACGCTGTCAACTAGTAATGCTTTCGAACAGCCCGTTGGAAAGATGGCATTCACGGGGCGGGTCTGGGGCAGAGGAGGGGTCCTCGCCAGGGGAGCAGCAGTGGGTCTCACCAGTAAGTCTGGGCTGCCAGGGCTGCTCCGGCTCTGCGGTCGCACACCAAATCGAGGAGGCAGTTTCTGTGCTGAGGATCTCTCCGTGTGGCTGGTACCTGGTTGCGGCGATGGAGGTCAGTGAGCAGCGGAACAGCCGTCGGTGCCTCTGCCCTCCTCCTGCCAGCGGCCCCGGGGAGCCGTCCCGCCGCTCTCTGTTGCACTTGCAGTAAATCTGCAGGATTGCAAGCCACCCCAGCTGCCTCCTGCCAGCTGCAGACATCATGATCACTTGTTGACACACACTCACACATGCTGCGTGTTTCGGGCTGTAACATCTGGCTTGATCTGGGGTTTGTAATCGAAGCCGTGGATGCCAAGGCTTCCCCGCACCCACCTTCTCCCGGTCAGGTGCTGGAGAGGGAGCACAGCAGGGCGAAGAGCCCACGATTGCAGGGAGATTTTCCAGGTTTCCCACTGTTATTTGAGCTCTCAGCATCTACCCAGGACCGGCCTGGGGCTGACAGATCCTGGGAACCTCTGCACTGCGCCTGGCTGAGCCAAATCCAGTCGCTGTGATGGGGTAGGGGTTTGTGGGGGAAGGATGGTGGTTATCCCTGCAAATCAACGTGTGTCTCGGCATGGATATTCATGGTAAGAATCCCCGAGCCTTTTAGCATCCCTTGTCCTGACATGAGTGGGAATTTGCCAGTGACTTATAAAGAACAGCAGCACAGCGCTGCTTGATGGCAAGGTGGAGGGGAAGGGATGTGCTGCGAGTGGCTTGGGCACAGTGATGCCAGAGCTTCTGCATGTGCTTCAGCCCAGAGCTCCTGGTGGAGCTTTGTCTGACCCCTACCCAGTGCTCCAGCGTGGAAAGGCAGCTGGTGCTCCCAGCCTGCCTGGGTGGCTGCTTCCGCACATCGCCCTGGGCTGCGTGGGCTGGAGGAGCTCCCACCTCGCGTCGTTCCTCGTTCCATCCTCCCTGCTTCCCCTTGCCAGTAGTTTAATCCAGGGCAAAGCTGCTCCGTGTTTCCGACCGCAGCGCCAGCCTCCCCCACCCCTTCTGTATTTCCCCAGTGGTTCCCTCTAGGAGCTGGTCCCGCCAATCGGGAGGCACAGAGATGCTCTTCTGATTTCCCATCAATAAATGAATGAACGAAGAGCTTGGGTGCTGCACAGTGTCTCGGAGAGGCTGGGAAACAGGTAGAGCCCCTCGGGGGACAGCGAGTGCCCGGCGGGAGGAGGTACGTGCATGCCCGCGCTTGGGTGCCCGCGCGGCTTCAGCGTTCTTCTCCCGGCTCCAGGTTCAAGGCAGGAGTTTCCCCATCAGACCGTCACCTCCAGCTGGGGCAGCGGGTTTATTCTGGTGACATTTTTCACTTGGTTGCTTTAAATAGACCTTCAAAATGTAGCTGCTGCCTCATTTTGAAAGAGCTCTCTCACTTCCTCAGTGCTTCCCTATTTTTTTTTACCGTATGCAGCATGCCCTCCCCCTCTACACCTGTTTGCAACACACAAAACCTCCGTGTTTCTGCACACACAGGGACAGATTTCCATGCTGGAGAAAAGCTGGAGGTTGAGACCTCTGGTTATGCACAAGGCAAGCAGCAGGCGTGCAGGTTTCTCCAGTCCTGCTCCCTGTAGGCAGCAGCCCTGAGCTGGAGAATCGCCTCGTTAGGGGGGGCGATGGATGCAGCCCTCGTTACTGTTATTAATATTGGCATTACGGTAGCAGCCCCCTCCCCTTCGGATCAAGGCTGTGTTGTGCTTGGCAGCCCACCGGTGTCTCCTGGAAGGCTCTGCTGCCACACAGAGCTCGCAGGCTCCACGGGCCAAAGTGGGAAAGAAATAGAGGCACAGCGAGGGGAAGTGATTTCGTGTGGTTTCAGCTTCCTTCTCCCTGCCCCTCGGCTGCAGGGCTTGGGCCCTCGCCCCAAATTCAGGCTCTCTGGAGAAGGGCTCTTTGTGGTCGTACCATCTGCCGTGAGCTGTTTGGCAGAGGATATCTAGGATAGCCTTTGGCAGGAGGTGGGGAAATCCTGCCCCCAAAATCTCCAGGAGGTCTGTGGGGTCAGATCAGCCCTCCAGGTGAGTGTCTGTTCACCTCGTGCAGCTGAGCCAGCTCAGCCTCTGCCCCCCAACCCCCTCCCCTTTTTTTTTTCTCCCTTTAATTTTGCAATTAAGATTTATTTCCCAGCTCAGATTTCCCCCTTCCACCCTGCGCTAGTTCATTACTTGCCCTGCACTCCCTTCCTGACCCTCCGGATTTGGAACATGTCTTCTCATGTGGTTTCCCCCTGCCCTTCTGTGGCCTCGTGCACCTTGTGCAGAGCTCCAAAGAGATGAATTTATGGGGGGAAAATTCAGGGCTTTGCGTTTCTGCTGAGACATGAGCCATCTCGTTCCTGGGACGTCGGGAGCAGTCTCCGAACTTCCCATAGCCCCCAGACACTGCTCTCCTTTCCCTCCCCAGGCAGATGTGGAGAGTCGGAAAGATTTTCATGCTCCCTCTGAGCTCATAAATCAAGAAGGCTTAATCTCCTACATCCAGGAGTCTGTGATGAGAAAATACAGATTCCCCCTCCTCTCCCCCCTAATTTCCACCACTCCCTTCCTCCTGTCTTTCATATTCCCGGCACATCTGGTGTGTGTTAGGCTGCCAGCTGTTGCATTGTGCAGAGTGATTAAACCATGTGGGAGGAATGGGGAAAGATTTTTATCTGGGCATTCATGAGTCTGCATTACAAGCCCTTTTTTCTTTAGCTCTCCCCAAGAAGAGGTCATCTGGAGTCAGGGATAGTGGAATGTAAGAAAGGTATTGTGCTTCTCTGTGTCTTCCTTGTATCTGCTCAGTAGGAAATAAAAGGTGTCTGCACTGAGGTACAGGTGTTATGTTTTGGGCTGTAGCCATCGCATCGGAGCTATATCTATAATATTGATTAGTTGCAGTAATGTCGTGCAAGAAGTGATCTTTGAACACTGCTAGGTTGGCTTTGAAGTGACTTGGAGGTGAAGGTTTCGTATCCCAGTCTGGGTGCCCTGGGGGATCTGGTTTTTGGTTCATTCCACTCTCTCCCTGCTAAACTCCCACACTTCTCTCATCCCAAGCTCATGGATTTCCCAGCATCTGGCCAGCCTCTTCATCCCTCTTGCTTCCCAGTCTCCTCCAGGCTTACGTGGGGTTTGGATAGCATCTGCTGCTGCGTGCCCTGACACTGCTCTAACAATGTCACTGTGAAATACTTACTGCAGTAGATTTGGAAAGCCCTGGGCTGCAGTGGAAGTGCTTCTGTGGGTGCTTTAGGGAACCCAGGGAAACTCCCGGCACAGCACAAGGATGAGTCAGTTCCCCCAGGTGGAATGACCTTGCTGAAAATAGCACACCTGAGAGATGCAGCTGAAATACATCTTTGAATCACAGCCAAATTCAGATCTTATTTGGGCTGAATAACCCCCTGAGGTACTCCCTTCTGCTGACGATGCAGGGGAATCTCTCATGTCCGTGCCTTGGTTGTCAGTGCCCTGTTTAATTTCCTGCAGTTAGATGGGATGAGTGTAATCCCCAGGAGTATAAAGCCTGGTGCCACCAAGCAGCAGTAGAGGGGAATGTTGCTTTTTCTCTCCTGAGGGATGTGACCTGCCTATTGCTTTGTGGGCAGAGGGGGCAATTACTTCTCTTAAGGGGAAACTGGTAAAAAGAGCCCCTGCTGTGGCCACATCTGGTCTGAGTGAGTCACCTCTGTGTTTGCTGCCTGCCAGGGCTCCACCAGCCACCATGAGGGGAGCAAAGAGACCTCGGAGGTGGGCAGGTCGGAGGTGAAAGGCAAGAAGTCCTCAAGCCATGGCAGCAGTCACAAGGGGAAGAAGACGGGAAGTGGGAAAAGCTCCGTTGGCTTCAGCTCAGCTTCATCCAGTGGGACCTTCCAGCCTGCAGGTAAGGAGTGAAGGAGGAGCAGGAAAGGAGAGGGGAGGGTGATGTTTGCTTTGCTCCTCTTTGATACCTCTGTATTTGTTCAGATGCCCGTTCACCGGGTAGTGCTGTGAAACTTTGCTGGTGGGTATTTCTTTAACCTCTTGAAGAGAAAGGGAAAAGTCTTATTGCTCCTGACTCTGTGCACAGAGGGAAGAACTGAGTGAGACGAGTGTTCCAGCTCCCCTCCTGCGCACGCCTGCTGCACTGCAAGGGAAAACAGATCCAGATGTCTGAGCGGAGGGAGGAGGGAACGGATACTGTGCACAGGCAATATGGGCAGCACCTGCCCTCTCCTCCGTAGGTGGTACTGTCTGCAGCAGTGTTTTAAGGAGCACTAGTGGAGAGACCTGAGCCAAAACGTGATATCTGGGCTCCCCTGAGCTTTGGGTCAAAGCCTTGCAGGGCTCCCATCTGCTCAGACCTCGCTCGGTTCCTTTTAGAGCTGTTGTCATAATGGCTGGCGGGTGTCATCTCCTGGGACCCTGGTCGGGCTGGAGGGATGGTGGTGATGCAGGACCTGGGGGAGCAGACACGTGTGTTGGAGTGGGGTGAAGCTGCTGGTGCACACCTCTCGTGCTTGCTGAGAGCATCGAAACAACGGGCTGGGGGCAGGGGGGTGAGTTACTGCCTCTACGAGCCCTCCTACACCTGCTTCCCCTCTGCTTCCCCAGGTACCTCCTGCAGCAGCTTGCAGTGCTCCCAGGACTTTGTGACATTCCCCAAGCTTGAGCAGGACGACGAGAAGTACCGGAAGCCTGTCTCTTCCTCATCTTCTTCCCACTGCTCCCCTCTGTATGACGGCCAGAAAGGGGACATCTTTGAGCAGAAGGTGATCTTCTCAGGCTTTGGGTCCATCATGCGCTTCTCCACCTCCGCGGTGAGCCAGCAGAGAGGCCGTGATGCTTCCCCCGTGGACTACAAAGCCTCGAACCCCGTCAGTGGCCCTTCAGTGGGAAAGGGGGGCCCGCACCCCCAGCCACAAGCGCATGCCATCCCTCGGCATGGAGGATGGAGAAGTGTTGAAGGAAAAGAAGCACAAGGGTAGCAAGAAGAACAAGCACGGGCCTGGCAGGCCAAAAGGGGGCAAAAGCAAAGAGATTTTGGGTGCCCAGCTGGCTGGGTCCACGTCTACTTCCTCGTCACCCTTCTCCGGGGGCTCTCTTGTTAGCTCCAGCATCGGCAACTCTTCCCGGTCCTTCGGCCACACTGGGAATCTGCCCAGCCTCAGCATGGAGTCCCCGCTGCTGGGTTCAGGTATGTTCCCTCAGGGCTCCAGGTGTGCTCGGTTCCTCCCAGCCCTGCTGTCTTTTCCATCACATTCGGCTGGTGCCCGGACCTGTCAGCACAGAGTCCAGCGCCTTTCATTTAGTCCTGGGAGCTACAAAAATCCACATCTGGGTCCCCCCTTTCCATCTTGGCCTTCATCCCAGAATCTCCTCCAGATCAGCTTCTTTATCGTTGGAGCTGGGCTGCAGTTTTTTGCTGGGGGACATTTCAAACCCTTTTTTGCTGAAGTGCTGGAAAGCCTCAGCTAGCCAGAGCTGTATTTCCAAAGCGACAGGGAGATTCACGGGCCACACCGGCACAACCACAATCTGACCCCAAATGAGAGACTCTCCTTAGTGGTTCAAGTTTAACCCCTCTTTTAAAAGGAAAACCTCTCGTCCTGGTCTTAACCACATCCCCGTAGGGTTGAGAGACGGGCAAACCGTGAACTCTGCTGAGAGGCTTACAGCTGTTCCCTGTCCTGGCAGGGATGAGGGCAGGCAGGACGTGGCAGGAAGGGGTTAAGGCAGCAGGCAGAGGAGGGGCTGAGGTTTGACACTGTTCTGGCAGTAGAACTTGTCATCGGTCTATTGTGGGTTGTTTGCAGATGCTCCAATTTAGGTCAGATTGCAAGGGGGGGGTGTAATTTTGCTGTGGTGCCTGGGAGCCCCGGCCCGTTTGTCTGTGCTGCCTGAGAGAGTGGAGGAGCTGCAAGAATTGATGCGACTTCCATAATCATCACCTCAGGCCAATGGTTTTTTTGCCTCCCCCGTGGAACAACAAAAGGATGTTTCAAAGAGGCGGCGGCTGCCAGGCCCCACTCTCGCTCTCCTGTTCTTCTCTTGCGGAGAGATGTTGGCAGAGCTTGGAGGGACCCGGCTTTGGGCACTGCCTCTGCCACCAGCCTGAGCCAAGGGGAAGTCAGACGGGTCTCCTTGCCCTTTCTTCCTCGCTTATCTGTCCGTGCCCCACGGTGGTCCCTGGGCATCGTGGAAGGGGACAGGTTAGCTCAGCAAGAGTGTGGCCTCTTGACCAGCGCGGGGAGCGGGACTCTGAGCCCACTACCCCCTTCTGCCACTGCCCTGTGCCTTCGGTGAGTCGCTTTATGCTGCCATTTCTCCTTCGGATTGTATCGGGGTGTGGGGAGCAAACAAGAGTGGGGCAGAGGCAAGGCTGGAAAAGATTGTGATATCTTTTGGTAGAAGGATTGTGGGCTGTGACCACCCTCACTGCGTGCCAGGCCCCGAGATGCTGAATTGCACGTTACACTTGGTCTGGTGCATTGGTGTCACCCTCCCTTTCTGAGATAAAGCCCCGCAGCAAACCAGCTGCCTCCGGGCCATCGGAGGAGAACGCGGCTCTCTAACACGTCTCCTCCCCTTGCAGGGATCTACACCAGTAACAAGGACCCTATTTCCCACGGGGGCGGAGTGCTCCGAGCTGTGTGCAGTACCCCCCTCTCTTCCAGCCTCCTGGCACACCAGGGTACGTCGTCTCTCCCGCAGCTCAACCGGTCTCCCTTTGCTAGCACCATCCCAGCCTCCTCCTCCTCGGTCTCCACCACGCAGGTAAGAACATCTGGACCAGGAGAGGGACTGTAGTTGAGGAGAGCGTTGGGCAGAGCAGTCACTGACAGAGCTGAGCCAGTTTGTGGGCACAGAGGAGTTGCTTTTTCCACTTGGGAATGGCTGCTCTTCCTTCAGCTTGGAGCAGAGCTGCCAACTGCAGCTTCCCTTGGAGTCGGTGGAAAGATGAAGGCGATTCTGCATCACAGCCCATGCAGCCTGTTTGGGGTGGGAGGAATCGCAGAAGGACGCGTCGCTCTCCGTTGGCTGTCGGGGGGCACGGACGGTGCTCGGGCAGCAGAGGTCTGGCTGTTGGCATGTGCTGTGTCCCGTGCTGCTCGTCGCCTCCTGCCACCAGCACCAGCCCTGCCTTGCTCTGCAGCACGGATAAGTCGGTGGGAGGGCTCGTGCGTCCCAGCTGGGTGGGCTGTGCGTGTGCCAGGAGCCAGAGCCTCGTCCTTTGTCGGGAGCTCGCTGTGAGAGGTGTTTTACAGGGAGAGGAGAGTTAGTTTTACAGCCCCAGCGTTAACATGGCTTATTCAGACCTCTTGGCTCTGAGACGGGGCTGGGAAGATTTCAACTGTCTAGCGAGACTTCCAAGGAGATATTTTTAACACTCTCTCATGAGCAAGCTGGGTTCAAGAGTCAGGAAGGGATGGAACAATTATATTCTTTTCCTCTTGCGTTTTTAAGAATTAATTTCTCTCTCTCTCTTCCCTCCTTGTTTTGCCATGTAGGTGTTCTCACTGGCAGGGTCAACGTTTAGCCTCCCTTCCACTCCCTTCCTCACATATTTTTGGAAGTCCCCTCACATCTGGGCTATCAATCAACCCACTCTTAAATCAGTCGGAAAGCAGCCGGGCAGGTACGTGAATCAGAAGGTATGTGAGGTTGGACTTCCAGAGGGGTCTCCCTGGAAGAGTGGAGACAACTGCATCCGTAGTTCTCCAGCTGCCCTCCCTGCTTGCCCCCATCCCATGCGTGTGAGAGCCAGGGGCTAGGAGAGAGGGGCAGTGGCTTCTTCCCCAGGGCAGGAGGTGCTTGTGTTTGCCTTCATGAAGTGCTGGCTTGCAATCCTGCAAAAACATATCTGCTGGTGTGTCCGTTGGATAATGTGTGTCCCTGGACATGTGCTGGAAAAGTGCAAGAACGTTAAGTCTTTCCCTGCAGAAATTTGATGTCTCTTTACGTACTAAATGTGTACGAACCTAGTGAGAACTACTGGGAGTTTTTGCTTGCTCAAAATAAGTTGAAAGTTTTTGTTGGGGTTTTGTTTCCTGGGTTTCTTTTAAAATGAGAGATAACGCTCTTAATTTTCACCTTCCATTCCTGTTTTGAGTTACTTTCTGCCCTTCCCCTTTGACTTTGTCATGAACGCAACAAAATCCACTGTTTTCGACTTCCAAACACGAACGTGCCAACACTGAATTACTTACAACTGCTCATTTTTTCCCACCAAGGCAAATTCATTTTTCTTGGAAACTTGCCTGGTTAATAAGCAGGAAACTTGAAGCATCATAAGATTTTTTTTTTTATTTTTTTTTTTCCCCAAAACAGAGTGAGCCTGATTTTTTTGGTTTGCACCAGTAGTTAAACAGAAGCACCCTCCTGATTTTCAGATGTTGCAGTTAGCGGTGCGACTGTCTCGTGCTCCCCTAGCCCAGAAACGTTGGCAGCTCAGCATGCTGGATGCTGGGAGGTAAAACTCTGCCCAGTGTCACACTGAGTGACGAGCACTTTAAAACACACCGTCCTCGTTAGAGGTGGCTCCGAGTTCTCCGGATAATCCGACACCAGTGTGCCCTGATTCGCCTTAACAAGCGGGCACGCCTGGGTGTAAAGCATGAGTGACCACGTATGCCTACTTATGACCTTGGCCAGCCCCGTGGAAGGTGCCCGTCTGTCTCTCCGTGTGTCACTGGCAGCATTTTGTCCCTAACACCCCCGCTGCCAGCTTCCATCCGCGTGAGCGCCACGGGAAGGTACCCGCGGAGCTGAGCCAGCGGGAGCCGGGGCCGTGGCACGGGAGCTGTGAGTCAGGAGCGATTCAGTCACCTGGAACTGGGGCAAGAATGGGATGGTTCAAAAGTTGTTCTTGCCTCAGGGCGATCGAGAAGAGAGATGACCCACTGCCGCTTGCCCTCTGCTGTTATTTTGGCAAGGTGCTGACAGGGGAAGGAAGCGAGTCAACTGTCAGGAATAGCCCTGTGGTTCAGGCACAACACGGAGCCTCCGCAGGCTGGGTTCTGTTCCAGCCCTGCGGCTACTAATGAATGAATCATGTAGGCAAAACCCAGCCTACAAAGTGCTCGCAGAAGCCTGATCCTTAGTTTCCATTTCCAAGATTGCTCTTTTTGTTTGACTGAGATCTTAGAAGCTTCAGGACGTGTTTTTTTTCCAGTTCCAGGCAGCCTTCAGAACAGCTCCTGGTTTTTGTCACGTTTAAGGTTTGTCCATCACTATCTGCTCTGGCTGGAACTAGTGGCCTCGAGGGTGTTAAGCCAAATTCACTTTTTTTTTCTTCCCCCCTCCGGGAGGATTAACTAACAGCATTAAACCTCCTGTGTAGGGCCATTTTCACTTAAAAGTGTGGTGACTGCATTAATCCCAAATCGTTAACAGGGTGGTTGAGAAGTTTCAAGTAATCCTGCTTTGTCTTTAATTCAGATTACCTTTCCTGAGAGTGTCTGTGTAGACAGATCCCGCAGAGACATGGCCTTCATTGTAGTAATATTTAAGCTCTTCGCAATTTTAATGTGATCTAGGGAAAAATGGTGTTACCCCGTCTTACAGATGAGAAACTGTGATCACTGATGCAGGTTGATACCAGGGTGCCTTTGGCAGTACAAAAAGTCTGATTCTTATCTTCCCACTCCCTTAGCTACTGTCTAGTTCTTCCTCCCACGGCTTGTCCTGGATCCTGCCTCATTATGATGACAGGCCAAATGTATTTATCTTCTCTAGTTGTCTTCATGCCTCTTTTTCATACTTGCTGCCTTGGAAAGTGCTGTCTCTGTGTGATAACTCAGTCATCTCCCTGTTCTGTAGACAAGAGGGTGGTGTTGGCCAGAAGATAATAGAATATGGAGCCTGGTACTGTTTCAGAAAACCAGAATCGTGTAGATGTGTGCAGCTGCCCTGGGCTGCAAGCAGAGAATGCGCTGGTAACAAGCAGGCGGTCAAAGCTTGGCTGAATGTTTATTTGGTTGCAAGTTAAAACCACTGCAGCAGAGCTGCACATGGTGGGCTGTGGATATTTCTCAAAGGGTTTAGGTGGCCCTTGGATGGGAACAATACTGGGAAGCACTGCTGTAGTCCGGCTGTTCCCAGCCTTCTGGTAGCTGATCCCACTTGGAGAATTTAGGAAGGTTTCATGTCTTGTGGTGTCCCTGAAACCAAGACTTATCTCCACATGCTGTCTTGTACTGGGAGACCACTGTTGACTGGCAACTCCAGAAAGCAGCGGCTTGTCCCCAGAAGGGCAGACCGGTTACAATTGATGGCCAGGAAGATGTTCCCACGGGGATGAAGGAGTGAGGATCCCACTCATACCTGTCTGTAGGAGCTGCTGAACAACAGCTGCGTTTGCTTGTTCTCAGCAGTAGAAAATACTGCCAATAACTAATGCCCTGCTCAGGGCATTACACTGTAAATCACAGTGTTCCCTGCAGGAGACTTCCCGGATTCTTGCACATAAGAAATGTCTCTTATTGTGTGAAGAAGAGGAGGGGCAAGTCAGCCAGCTGGTGCAGGCTGTAGTCACAACATCTGACACGTCCCAGGGCGAGGGGAACGTGTGTTTATGGGCTGGCAGGCTCTGGGGATGGAAAGCAAATGGCAGATAAATATACTTCACTTCTTGATTACTCTTTGGATGGGCGATATGGTGCATGCACAGCAGCCCTGTCCCCAGCGCTGCAGTGTCCCAGCTCCCTGGGACAGAGGGATGGCTATGGGGGTAGCTTTTGGACACCGAAGCACGCACTTAAGCTCTTTAGAAAGAAGCTGAGCATCTGGAAACTTTGGAGGACTCCAGATGAGTTTCAGAAATGGATCCTGCAGGCAAGAAGGCTGCAGTAGCACTTAGGGGAGCTTTGCACAGGGCTGATTCATCCTTGCAGGCTCAGCAAAGCCAGTGTCTCTCCCCCCCGCGTCCCCCGCAGCTTTG